CCTCAAGTCAGTCTTGGCTCACATATAAGGTCCCTTTACTAAAGGCTTCTAATTTTGAAATATAAAAAAGAGAAACTATGAAAGGAAAAACTGGCTTAGTGCCATTAATTACGCCAACGCCTGACTCAAGCCTTCTACACCATGTCAAAATGAAGGGCAAGTAAGACTCCCAGGCAGCCAGATGAGAACGAGGGCAGAACCCACAGTCTTACTCAGCAGTCACTACCTCTGCACAGGAGGAAGCACAGGCTTACTCAGGACAAAAGGAGAAGCAAAAGACAAAAGCTCAGGCCAGGGCAGAGCTGAGTGGACAGGTGCACACCCATCTCTATGCGTTTGAGGCTAGCCGGGACTGCACAGTGAGTTACAGGACAACCAGGTCTATAAGAGGCCCTGCCTCAAAAACAAAACAACCTCCAAAACCCAACCCAAAAAAAGACAGAGCAAAAAATGACCTGATTTCTTGTTGAAGTCTTTTGCACTGTTGGGGAAACCTACAAAAGCACTATGTGGTGTGTGTTGGCCACCATTACAAGGCAGACTGCGAGCCGCCTTAGCTCAGTGATCTGATCCCACCTTTAACCTCAAGGCTAGCAGAGGTCTCTAAGGTAACAGTCACATCCTAAGCAGTAACTGAGGAATAGAAACTGCATGGAAGACTCAAGCTCTCAGATTAAGCTCCAAGCTCATGCACTGACTCAGATGAGAGGCCCCCCAACAAGCACGAGCTGCTCTGTGCAGGCCTTATGATATACTGCCACATCCCGTCTGTGGGAGTCTAGTGAGCCTGACCTGTCTGTGGGAGCCTAGCGAGCCTGATCTGGAACAAGAATACAGAAGGTATTTACTAAGATGTTCCCATTGCAAAATAATCCAACAAAAGTTTGCAAGCACTTAAATGTGAACTCTTACTTCCTGGCTTGTACTACTTCATACACTGGGGAAACACCATGCACTCAATGTACTCATTTAGCAGGGTAGATAACTGCCCACGAGTCAGGGCAGCTGGGTCTACACGTTGAGTCCAGGACAGCCAGGGCTACACAGTGAGACCCTACCTCAACACACAACAGAACAGAAGCAATAGCTCCTAAGTTAAAAGGAAGCCACCACTACCTTAAATCCAGAGCCCTGAACTGCAGTGCTGCACAGGCTGCTTCTCTGTAACAGGGGTGGAGTGGGGCATACACTTTCCATCTTAGCACTCGAATGCAGCAGCACAGTGGCTGATCTCTGGGAGTCTGGAGTCAACTTGGCCTACATAGTGAGTTTCAGGAAAAGTTCAGAGTACACACAGAAATCCTGTTTAAAAAACAAAAACAACCAAACCCTCAAAACGTTGTGCCTTCTACCAATCCCAGTGGGCGGGGCTTTGGTGTTAGTGGAAGCAGGCACAGAGAAAAACGACGCTGACCTCATCCAGCGAGGCTGCTCAGCCCAGGACAGTGAGGCTTTTGATGATTCCAACTCAGACACACGAGTGTGCTGCTAGTCCTGCCCCCCCCACACACACACAGACGGTCACTGCTTCCTAAAACTTGTCTCTCCACAGAGGTGGAAGCTACGGACACACCCATCAGCAGCACTTCAGAGAGTTCTCTGAAATCCCGCACTGGTTTCTTTCTTTTTTGTTATTGTTAACCTTAAGTATACTTCAAATATTTTTAAATATTTTTGCAACTGTGCTATAACGACACCCTTTCTTCCTCTACTCTCTGCAGCACAGCCATTTCACACACTGCCTCTGACTTACATGTGGCCGGGTATAACCACCTGGTGGAGCATACCCGACAGCAGGCTTCCTCGTCTGAATCTGCAACAGCCAGTCTCAGAAAAAGACTTAAGGATTTTACATTTCATTTACAACTTTAATTCTTCAGACGAGTCTCCCTAGTTGACAGCAGCATCTACCAAAACAAAACTGTGCTCTGGAGGGTTGCTCCTGACCCTGAGCATCCTACGGGACGATGTCTAGAGAACATTAAAGGGAATCTGTATGCCTGAGAAGACAGCTTAGAGGTTAGAAGCGCTGGGCTTGGTCCCAGCACCCACATGGCAGCTCACAACCATCTGTACCTCCAGTTCACGGAGATCTGATGCCCTCTTCTGGCCTCTCCAAGTACCAGGCACACATGTAGTGCACCTATACACATGCAGGCAAAACACTCACGTACATAAAAAATAAAATACAAATGTAAGGTGGAGGTGGGGTAGGAGAATAAACATCTTTAATCCCAGCATTCAGAAGAGAAAAAGGAAGGCAGATGGATCTCTGTGAGTTCAAGGCCAGCCTAGTCTACATAGTAAGTTCCAGGACAGCCAGGGCTATGCACTAGGACTCTGTCACAAAAACCAATGAAACCTAAAGACAAACAAACAAACAGGTCTTTTTTCCAGAAAGAACTAAAATGACTATACTTATTTAAGGTATGCATGTGATGCAGGCATACCACAGCACCCCAGCATGCACGTGGCCGTCAGAGGACTCCTTACAGGAGCTAGTCCTTCCTTCACAAATGTGGATTCTGGGTACAGAAACGAACTCACCACTGCAGGCTCTTTCTGCACTGAACCATCTCACCGGCTGAAAAAGACAGATGTTCTGAAGGAGGGGTTAACGTGTAAAAAGAAGCCCAGAATGAGGGCCCACACGTTAATCCTGCCATGACCAACCTCACCTTCTGAATATTAAGGAAAATACGCTGCTCCTCCCTCGAGTTGCTTTGTCAAAGGAACAAGACAAGTGTATGTTATATCGACTTGTATATACGCTTACACTGATGTATTCTCATCTAAAAACAATCATGTTCATTTTAAAACTTTACTAAGCTGCAGTATGTGTGAGCAGTGCAAAAATAAAATATAGCCAGGTGTGATGCCTCACACCTGTAACTGTAGCACAGGGAAGGTACAAGCAGAAAAGGATCACTGTAAGCCAAGGCCAGCCTGAGTTATATAGAGAGGTCCAGGCCAGCCTGGGCTACACTGAGAAATCCTGTTTCAAAACAAAACAAAATTCAAAGACTCCGGCATATATACCTACACATAAAATTAAGTATTTTTAAGAAGGAGTTGAGTACCAGCCCGGGTTATATGCAGAGTTATAATAGCTTGAGCTACATATATATTACAGCCCTGCATATAACCCGGGCTGGTACTAAACTCTGTTTAAATATATTTTATTTCATGTGTAGATATTATGCTCCCACCCTAAAAACAACCTAACTATAAAAGAGAAGGCGTGTGGAAGAGCGGGGGGCGGGGGGCTCACTAGCGAGTGCTGCCCAGCATACAAGACACCCTGGGCCTTATCCCCAACGCAGGGAAGGAGGAAAGGGGAAGGAAGGGAAGGAGAAGTGAAAAGCTGAGACTGAGCAAGAGGTGGTGCCATGTGCCAGAGCCCTTACAAGTTGGAGGCAGAAGGGTTACAAGGTCATTGGTGACTCTCGGCTACACCAGGAACCCACGCCTGTCTCAAAAGGGAAGGGTGCCAGAGCAGTGGCTCACACCACCATAAACTCGGTCCCAGGGACCCAGCGCCCTCTCTGCTCTCTAAAGGCACTGCGTGCTGGTTGTGTACATGCATTCAGGCAAACACCATCCACACATGATGATAAAATGACTTAAGAGAGGGACTGGAAGGAAGCAGGGGATTTTCCTGGACGGGAAGGAGAGCAGGAAGAGGGAGGGAACGATGGTTGGTGATGGTGTCAGGCCATGAAGAGGGCAGTGGTGGCACACGCCTTTAATCCCAGCACTTGGGAGGCAGAGGCAGGTGGATTTCTGAGTTCGAGGCCAGCCCGGTCTACAGAGTGAGTTCCAGGACAGCCAGGACTATATAGAGAAACCCTGTCTCGAAAAAATAAAAAAAAGAAGAAGAAGAGAGCAGAAATCTTCTGGGAAGAAAGGTTTCAGACAGTGAGGACAGAAGGGAACGAGGACAGACTGTGGTGGGGATGGCCAGGCTGTCAGGAATCTGGCTCCATGACAGGAGGCACAGGCAGAGCAATGATGACATGTAAGCACTGTAAAACACTCTTTCTACTATGAACTCTTTCAGACTGCAAAAATATCTAGTTTCCATGGGCTGACTATGAGAACATGACTTCCGGGATAAATGACATAAAGGCCCCAGTCACTCCCAGACCAGTTAAAAACTCCCTGAAGGGCACAGGGTAGAGTGGAACCAACAGGAACTGGCTTGTGACTAAGGAGAGAACAAATGACCAGTCCCAGGTTTTGCCAGTTACCAAGGAAGGTTGTTGGTAGGGAGCTAAGATTTTTTTACAGAAAAATTTAAAGTCCCATCCCATAGAACATCCAGGTGTTCTGCCCGTGATCAGTTAAAACAAAGAGGTGAAGCTCTGAACACAGGCCCTGGCCACAGAGGGAGTCTGCACACACATCCTGTGCCCACAACAAGGAACGCAAGCCGCTGGCGCCACAGGGCAGATGAGGTCAGCAGGCCCAATGACACTTGCCTCACAAGGTAATAACTGAAGGGTAAGATGCAGGGAACAATGGAGGATGGCTGCGAAGGCTGCTGCTCGCTGACTGCACGCTGCAGCGGGGAAGCACGGCCTGGAGAGTGACAGGAGAATGCAGGGTGCAGCACTGTTTAAAATGGGGGCAATAATGGAGGAAGGAGGTGCTAGCGGTCAGAAGACAGCACATTCTGTGCACTCCTGGATCTCCACGACTTCATGTCCGGGGATGCTCATAGCAAGTCTGCAGCCAGTCTTCTGGCAGCTCCTATGGGACTACACAGTAAGGCCAGCACCCAGGAAACAACTGTTCGCAATGGCAAGCGCATCTCACACAGGCCACTAAAGCTGACACTTGTAGGATAAAAGGAAGCACCCTAGGCTGGACCAGTAGATCACCAATGTCACACCGTCACCGCACTGTACTCAGTGGCTCGGCGAGGAGCGCCTGGAGCCTACGAGGTGCTGCCTAGCTTAGCCCTTTGCGCTGGCTGGCCTGAGGACACACTCACTCACCTCCGTAGTAGAGCCCCGTCGCGGTGCACATCCGCCACTGTCCCTGGTACATTCCTGCTCTGCTGGGGCTGCACATCTGGACGCTGACATCTGCGATCTCTTGGGGCTCTAGTGACCTCACCATCACCATGTTCACATGTCCAAACTGGTCTCCCCCGACATATTTAAGACAAACTCCTGGAGGCCAGGCCTCTGCCCCTAAATTCAAACAAAAAAAGAAAAGGAAAAAAAAACTTAGGCAATCAGTCTACTGCACTGTAGTTTCTTTTCACACTGTGGAAGAGGCCTCTTGCTATCCATATGAATGAGGAGGAGGATAGCGGAGGAGGAGGATGGTGATGGTGGTGGTGGTGATGATGATGACGTCTCGTCTCCTGTCTGCAGCATCGAGGACCGGGAGGGTGGGGGAAAGCCAGCTGAACAGATGACGTCAGCTTCACCTTGGAACTCCCGGAACACGAAGAAATCCATCCCCTCACGCTGTCCTTGTGCCCATTCACTCACACACATGATCACGGACTTTAAATCAATGTTTTTAAAAGAGCAATTGTGAAAAAAAAATATCAACCTGTGACCAACAGCCTGCCTTTATAACCTGTGACCAACAGCCTGCCTTTATAACCTGGCAAACTCATTCTTAAGATCTGTGTCAGGTGACCATGCTCACTAGAATAAGCCCGAGAATATCCATGGAGAGGAAGGCCGAGCCCACACCTAGGACAGACTGCTTTCACTGCTAAAAGAAAACATGTGGCCACTTTGGCTGGAGTTTTTAAAGTACAAGCATGGCCAGTTCCAGTGGGACGTGCTTGTGATAGCAGCTCTCAGGAGGGTGAGGCAAGAACATTCTGAGAATGAGGCTAGCCTGGTCTACCACAGCAAGATCCAGACCACCCAGCTACACCTTAAGACTTTGTGTCAAAAGAAGGAAGGGAAGGAGGGAGGAAGGGAGAGAGGAAGGGAGGGAGGAAGGAGCCTGCTCCCAGTGTTTCCTAGAGACCAGAGGATAGACGGTCACCATCCTCACTCCAGACCCATGCTTCTTGGACAGGGCAAGAGGCCAGTCTCTCTGTAAACAGCTTACTTTCTAAGCACAGGAACCTGAGTTTGAGCCCCAGAATCCATGTACAAAAAGCTGGTAGAGGCTGGGAAGGTGGTTCAGCAGTTACAGGACCTGCCCAGAAAGCAAGATGACTAACATTTGAATCCCCTAACCCAGGTAAACGTTACTCAGGCATGGCAGCTCTCCTGCAAGTTCAGTCTTAGAAGAGTCGGAATGAATACTCAGAACAAGTTAGCTACCAAGGAGCTAAGATGTGAACTCAGGGTTTGGCTCAGAGACCTGCCTCAAAAAGTAAGGTGGAAGACCAGTGACTAGATCCCCAACATAACCTAGGGCCTCTGTCAGAATGTGTAGGTACATGCATAGGCCCCCGTAAACACTTGTGCACACTTACACAGATATGCACACAGAAACATGCATAGACACATGCATCTACAGCAAACACATGACAGTATTAATCTGAAAGGCCAGACGTAGTCATATGTGCTGGGACCATCAGTCAAGGTGGAGAGGACTGGGGACCCCTGGGCCCTGCTGCCCTAGCCTACTGGCAGGTCACACTCAGTAAAGGGCTGTCTCCAAAACACAGCAGACAGTACATGAGGCTGTCCTCTGGCTCACAGGCACACACCCCGGTCATGTTGCCCAATTTCATACTTTCCTTCTGGGATCCTTAATTATAAATTATGCAGGGGCTCAGAGACTGTTTAGGTCTCTGGCTCAAACTGAGGGAAAAGTCAAAGCTTGAGTGGTCTCCACATAAGATGACCCGTGGTCCCAGGAGCAGCAGCAGCAGCCAGGGTGATAATGCAAAGGATGGGAGTGGTGACAGAGGTTCAGTGGCCATGCTTTCCTCTCTGGTAACTCCCAAAGGTCTCATGTGGCAAGTGCTCGTGTGGAAACTGCAAATGTGTAAATCAGAATGATACGTCTATACCCCGACCAGACAGTGCCATAATATATGCAGCAGCCATAGACGACTAGGTGTGCTTGTCCTGTGAACTGTCTCCAACATGCACTCAACGCTACTGTCTCTTTTTATTAACACTTGTGGGGGTTTTTTTGTTTGTTTTGTTTTATGTTTTGTTTTGTTTCAGACAAAGTTTCTTTGTGTAGCCTTGGCTGTCCCAGAACTTACTGTGTAGACCAGGCTGGCCTTGAACTGAAAGACCCTCTGCCTTTGGCGCACTGGGACTAAAGGTGTGGACGCCCATGCCCAACTAAGATGCTCCCTCTTTTAAAAGTGGCTCACACCCACCATCCCAGCAGTGAAATAAGTGAATCAGGAGGACTGCTGCGGTGTCTAAGGCAAGCCTGGGGCACACTGTTCGCGTGAGGAGTGAGGAGTGAGCTCTCTCCCAGCCCCCACGCGGCAGGCAGCTCACAGCCCTCACCTCTAGCTCAATGGGATCTAACACTGTTCCAGCCTCCTCGGCTCAAGTACAAACCCACACTAAGACACACATCCATGCATCATCTAAAAATTAAAATAAAAACATTTAAACATAAAAAGAAACAACAATAAAATAACAGTAACTTCTGCCAGCAACCAAAGTGGCACAGGCCCTCCAGAAGCTCAGTTAAAAAAGACTGCTGAATCCCAGGGGTTCAAGGCCAATCTAGGCAGAGTAACAAGGCATTAACACATAAGGACTGCCAGCCAATTGCTGCCTTAACAGTCTAAAGGGCAGCTAGGGCTGGCAGAGGGGCAGCTGGGACACTGACATCACACGCCAATGCTGTCCTCCACTGGGACCTGGCACAGCTTATGCTGTAGGTCAAGAAAACAGTGGGCGACGTCAAGTGCCTTAGGAATGTCAGTCTCATTAAAGACAGGATTCCAGGGGAGACAGGTGCAAATTCACAATCTCTGTCTCTGTGTCTGTCTGTCTGTCTGTCTCTCTCTGTCTCTTGCGTGTGCGCGTACACACACGCGTACGTACGTACACACACACACACACACACACACACACACACACACACACTGTAATAAAGCAATGTCTGTTAGCACAAAAGGGCCAGCAGGTCTGTTTTGAACTTCTAAGAAAATATGATTAGCCAAGACTACAAGTGTGAGACTTGGCTGTCTTGGGCAGACAGGCCTAAATGGCTGAGACCCAGCGCTTACAGGCCGCACAGAGCAGTGGACTGTGACATTACTGGGACAGAGGAAGGAGTAACATCTAGGGCTACTAGCTAGGGCGGCCCTCCTGTGGACACTCCTGCTAACTGTCCCTGTCTGATGGGTCGCATGAAGCAGCTCTTGAAGAAGTAGAAAGAGGTGCCCACCCTCTTGAGAGTCTAAAAGGACTCCAGATTAGGTCTCCAAGACAAACTGGATAGGCCTGGAACACAAGGACTCCTCGTGAGCTCTATGACCTTGGAAATTATGCTCCATATTGATTAAGGTGGCAGTTCTCTGTTATCACAAAACAAACCAATAAAGCAGTCAACCACCACCCTGCCACTGCCAATCTTGAGACTACAGCATCAGAAAAATCAAAACAAAGCCATCCAGTAGCTCTAGAAAGCTTGGACATGACCACAGGTCTGCGGCTAGAGGTATCTGGAGATGTCTGGAACACGTGTGTGTGTGTGTGTACAGAGATCTCCTGTGTACGTGTGGATGCAGGCCCTGTCAGTGTGCGTGTGTGTACAGAGATCTCCTGTGTACGTGCGG